GGAGATCCCTAGCCGCTTCTCCTCTCCTTCCAGAAGCTTCCTATAGGTGGCGATCTCCGCGTCCAGTTTCAGCTTGATGTGAAGCAGCTCCTGATAGTCAGCCATGTATTTCCCCATCTCAACCTTGGTCTCGCAGAGCTGGTTCTCCAGCTGAGCGATGATGTCCTCCAGCCCGGACGCCTTGTCGAGGTGCGCGGCCTCCATGTCCTCAAGCTGCTGCTCCAGAGCCGCGTTACGGGCCCTCAGACTGTCGATCTGGTTCTGCAGGTCGGAAACCTGGTTGTGGAAGCTGGTGCTCATCCTTCATGGTCTTCATGTGGCCCTCATGTTTGCTGGCCTGCACTTTCAGAGTGTCAAACTTGCCCTTGTACCACTTCTCGCCTCCTGGACGTTGCGAGCGGCGACGGCCTCGATCTCCGCGCGCATGTTTCTCAGGTACGCCGCTAGATCGGGTCTGTCAGAGTCCAGCTCCACCGTCACCTTAGACTCCTCGATCTGCTTGAGGAGGTCGGCGACTTCCTCATCGTGAAGCTTCTTCAGGAACCGATCTCGGCCACCAGTTGCTCGATGCGTTTCTCCAGATCGGCCTTCTGTAGCGTGCGTTGTCGACATCTTGGCGGAACTCACGGAGAATCATTTCAGCCTCCTCTGTGGAGTCAAATTTCAGCAAGGTCATTAGAGAGGTCATTACAAGTGGTATTATATAAATAAACAGAGGTGGCAACATGACATCATGACTTTTGGTAAACATATACGGCACTTTCGAGTCAGGTGGCGTGTTATCTCCACGCATTTTGTGCTATCCGCGTGTGTCCGCGTGTATGTCTACGCCATTAAGGTCCGCGTCATTCCGCGTGTCTGAACACGCAGTCAAATCTCCAGTCATAAATGCCATTAACCCCAGTGACGGTTAAGTTTAGGGATGGGGTTGAGGTAAGTCATATCTTTTTTTTACCTAGGATGGTAAGGGAACAGTCATAAATGCCATTAATCCCAGTGACGGTTAGGTTTAGGGACGGGGTTGAGGTAAGTCATATATTTATATAACTTAAGCAACGGCGTTCATAAACACGCTTGAAAGGCGATTATGCGTCTTGATAGCACGCCAAAAATGGAAATATGAATTGGCGTGTCATACACACGCTACTTCATGAGATCAGTCTGGAGGTGGACAGTTACGGAGTACATTTACATGATTACCAAGTGTCGAGGTGTCCATGAGCAAGACACCTAACCCCAGCTGCTCCCGACGAGCTGTTGGATGGTGCCTTGTAAGGCTGACACCGCTGTTGGTGTATGAATGAGTGTGTGAATGGGTGAATGTGAGGCAGTATGTAAAGCGCTTTGGTGGCCATTAGGTGAAAGCGAAAGCGCTATATAAATGCAGTCCATTTACCATTTATTTACTTGAGTACTGAGTAAAGCCTTTTTCACCATTGTTCCATTGGCTTTTGACAATATTCAGCAATATATTGAGCTGGACTGACGCTATTCTCTTCTGAAACAAAATCTTGTTGCATTATTGTCCTGTTATCTCTGTAAAGCTGCTCTGAAACACTGTATAAATAAAAGAGACTTGACTACTGTACTTATGTAGACATTTTGAGTATCGGTACTTGAGTAGTTTTTTTTCTGGAAACTTTTTACTTTAACTTCACTACTTTTGGAAAGACAAATATTTTTGAAAAACATTTTTTTGTTAGCTTTAAACTCCAGACAAACGTTTACATCTGTAATTTTGGTGATCAAAGATGAGTTTTAAGGGATAAAATGATCTCCTCACCTTTGATGGCCATCTCCTCCTCGAGCTTCATCCTCCAGACCTCACCTCCTCCTCGATATAACCTCTCTCTAATATCCCGAGCCCTTCTCAGCGGTCAGGGCTTCGATAAGCTCCTCATCTCCTTAAACTTCAGCTCGTACTCGTCCCCGAGGCCGGTGGGTCCAGCTTTAAAGCGTCCCTGAAGCGACTCCAGCTCGGCTTTCAGTGAGGCGTTCCTCGTCTCCAGTGCCTGACCTTCTCGATGTACCCGGCGAAGCGCACGTTCAGCTCCTGCATCTCCTTTTCTCGTTGTTTGGTGTTGATTGGATCTCGGTGGCGACCTCCAAGCCTCACCCGGAAACCCAGCTCGCCCTCGGGTGAACGACGGCCTCGCATCGGGACGGAGATGGGCTCTGGACTCTCATCCGACTGGAGCCACTGACGCTCAGGCTCTTCTGCGAATATGACGTTCCCCTCATGTCTTTATCCTCGGGCTTCTGCTGTCGAAGGTTCTCCTGGTGGGACTCTCGGGTTGAGTTTATATGACTGTTAAGAATCTTGCACTGAGTCTTGAAAGTCTTGCAGGGTTTTGACATGTTTTAAATGCGGATCATGATTGAGTTTGAAGGCTTGAGTTTCTCATTAGCTCACGCATGATTGTTATTCAGAGGCCGAGAGGCTCTCGCACTCCAGTGCCACATAACCAGTGTGTGTGAGAGCACTATTGCTTCTCCCTGTAATTCCAGGCCAGTGTGGCTCATTGTTTCCATATAACCTCATACGGATGAATTAATGCGCTTTACAAATAGCTCTCTTTTCTGCTGCTTTTGTTACATTTGTCTGTCATATTTTCTTGATTTGCACTAAAATGGTTCTTTCCACAGTATTCTGATAAAAGAATGTTCAGATATTTGTACTGGAAAACTAGATACATTTAGCCTACTGAAGAAGTAGCAAAATGACTAAAGAGGTTATGCCTTGTTTAATGAAAAAAACTAACAACAACAAATAGTTTTCACTGGGTCAAAATCTTAAATTAAGATTATTTTTCTGACTCCATTGGCAGATATTTGTTCTTGTTTTAAGCATAAACTTAATTTTTTATCAAATTTTCATAAAATAATTAAAGACTTCAGTCATTTTGCTTCTTCTCTAGTAAATATATCTTGATTTAAGAATGTTTAGATACTAGATATATTTGTACTGGAAAACAAGATACGTTTAGAAGATCTTACGCCTTGTTGAATGAAAAAAAATATTGTTTGTGCTTCAATTGCAGATATTTGTTCTTATTTTGAGTCAGAAAATAATCTAATTTTCCCTTCGAATGAATTTTATACTCGCTTCATTTAAATTTTTATTAAACAGTTAAAGTCTGTATTTTCTTCCGTAAATGTGTCTTGATTCAGAATATTTAGATGTGTGCTGTAAAAGACAGAAACACTGAGGAAGAACGTGATTTCTTGCAGTGCGTCTCATCAAAATGTTATACGTAGTGCTCCAGATCTAGATTTTGATAAAATGTACTAATTTTGTTTTTAAGCTGCTTGATTCAATAGGAATACTCATCTTGTGTCGTGATTCGACAGCAAGTCTTACAACTGGGAAAACATTAGAATTCAATTTTTCACAGAAATCATTTGTTTTATATAGTTAAATTTCACTTTCTCGATTTGAGAATTGCATGCACTGTAAAAACATTTTTGAAGTACTTGAATAGATTATTGGAATCATATGTTTTTCTACTTCAGAATTTCATGTTTAAATATAGCTGCAAGCAGCCATTACCGGGGCCAAGCGCAAGAAGCGGCAACATATGCCAAAATGGCAAGGAGTGGCAGACCAACTGCAGCAAGGAGCAATTAAGGGCATTTTGAGAGAACTTTGGGCAAATGGCTAAGAAAATCACATAAACATTAACTTATAAGATGATTTAATGGGTTATCACTTTCGAACAATAGGTGGCGCAGTTACGAAATAGATGTGATGTGGTCAGAGTGAGGTGAAAATGACACATGCAAAGTTTGGTGTCAAAATGTGAAGGCATTGCAGAGATAAAGCCTAAATAGTAATTTTGGCAGCATGCCTGAACTTTGATGCTGTGGTATACGAAAACGGTTTTGTCTATCATCGTGCAATTCATAACTTTTAGTCGGCACCGTCTGGAGATGATACGATTCAATTTTCGTGAAAATCGGACAAACGGTCTAGGAGGAGTTCGAAAAAGAAGGTTTTTCAAAGAAATAAAGACGGCGGACAGGAGGTTTGGCTGATTATGGCAAACCTGATATCTATGTTTTCAGCATAACCCAGGAATCTATTAAGATCAGTTTC